AATGCTGCTCGGGAGACCAAATCTATGGATGGTATCTTCGAAGAGCTCGACTACCTTCTTTGCAGTAGCCGAAACAAGCGGTTTGTATTCGATCCACTTAGAGAACTTGTCAATGGCGACGTACACATATAGGAAACCACCTGGCGCTGGCTTAAAAGGCCCGATCATGTCTAGTGCCTAGCATGCAAAAGGTCAGGAAGCTGGGATGGTCTGCAGGTCTTGTGCCGGCACGTGTATCTGTTTGGCGAAAAACAAGCATCCTTCACAACGTCGGACGAGGTCTTCTGCGTCGGCGATGGTCGTGGGCCAATAAAAACCAGCTCCGAAGGCTTTGTCGACCAGGTTTCTCGAGGCCGCGTGGTTGCCACAGGAACTAGAGTGAATTTCGAGAAGTAGTTTCACTCCCTCTTCTTGGGTGATGCATTTCTGCAGTATCCCTTCCTTGACACTTTTCCTCATCAAGTTCCCATCTACCAGCACGTAATGCTTGCTTCGACGGATTAGGCATTCAGTTTCAGCCTTGTCGGCGGGTACGTCGGTGCTAGTGAGGTACTTGATGAACTGCTTCCTCCAGTCGGCGGCCGACGAAGGTACTGTAAGTACCAACTGCTCGACAGGGGGAATTTCTTGAACTTCCTTCTCTTCCTTAATAGACGATGTAAAGAGGTCTTTAACGAAGACCCCTGGCGGAATCATGGTGCGAGAAGAGCCTATCTTAGATAGGTGGTTGGCGAGCTGATTTTGATCTCATACCACATGGTGGTACTCGATACCGTAGAACTTCCCTTTGAGTTTCCTGATTTCGGCGCAATATACGTCCATCTTCTCACTGGAGCAGGACCAGTCTTTGTTGAGCTGGTTGATGACCAGCACGGAGTCTCTGTATACCATAAGGTGTTTGACGCCGAGCTCGATGGCTATACGGAGTTCATGGAGACATGCTTCATATTCGGCGGCATTGTTGGAGGCTAGAAAATGTATTCAGAGAACATATCAGAGCTGGTCTTTGGTCGGCGTAATGAATAAAATGCCAGCATCAGCACCATTGATGTTAAGGGCACCATCAAAGTACATCACCCAGTGCTCGGGGCAAGTAGTGGGGATGGGCTCTTGGATCTTGGTCCACTCAGCGATGAAGTCAGCGAGCGCTTGTGACTTGATGGTAGACCTGCTTCTGAATTCAATGGAGTAAGTGCCAAGCTCAACAACCCACTTGACGATGCTGCCGTTGGACTCTTTATTGCGGAGGATGTCCCCTAGAGGGAACTTGGTGACCACGGCGATCTTGTAATACTCGAAGTAATGGCGGAGCTTGCGTGACGTGATCAGAATAGCGTATAGCAGTTTTTGAACTTGAGGATAACGAGTTTTGGGCTCATTAAGGACCTCGCTGATGAAGTAGATCGGACGTTGCACCTTATAGGTGTGCCTAGCCTCCTCGTGTTCGGCAATGATAGCTATGCTAACGACGCGAGAGGTGGCGGCGATGTAGATCAGTAGGGTTTTGTCTGGTCGAGGCGCCGTCATGATCGAAGGCTTCGTTAGAAACAACTTGAGCTGCTCGAAAGCTGTATCTACCTCCTCCGACCAGGAGAAGTGCTCGGAGGCCTTGAGTTTGAAGAATGGTAGTCCCTTTTCGCCGAGGCGTGATATAAAGCGGTTGAGAGCAGCCATGCAGCCTGTAAGCTTCTGTATGTCCTTTACGCAGGTTGGTCATTTCATGTTGGTGATGGCGGAGACCTTGTCGGGGTTCGCCGCTTTAAGCATGGCGGCGACCTTGGTGACTTCTGGTGTTTGCGGAAGCCGAGCGAGCTCATTAGCAGCCACGGCCAAGTTGGCACTTGGGGTTTTGTAGACGTCGTGGCCATCAATACGGACAAATTCATCATCGAGGTTGCATTGGAGTTGGCGTGGCCTTCCTTGCGAGTCGAGCTGATCGTTGTGAGCAGCCTCGGCTAGCACAAGGGCAGCTTTGTTTGCTCGGCTTGCACACGATTGGTGTTCCTATTGACGCGAGCAGCACGGTCCTCCTCGGTTTCCCCGTCCCGTGGGGGCTGTCGACGCTGATGTTGAAAATTCTGCCTCCACGGAAGAGAGGGAAAGGCAGTTGTACGGCGGTGGTCTCGACGATAGTCTCCATAGAGCCCTAGGACTTGGAGTCAGGATTTTCCTCCAGGATGGTTTGGAGGGATGCTTCGGGGCATCGGCCGACGTGTAGCATGTTGACAGCCGACGAGAGCTGGTCGGTGATCTAGTCGGCAAGAGGATGGATATCTCCCACCCGGTCGGTGAATTTGCCCCATAGGGCATCTTGATAGGCAGCGGCGATGCTGGTGAGCCCGAAGGGTAGGGCCATAACCCCTGGAGTTTCCTGATCCACCTCCGATAGATCTAAATCGGAGGGTGGTCGGCGTTGGACCAGAGTGGTCAGAGCTGATTCTACGATGGAGAGGCAATCGGCGAGCTTCTAGCCAACCTGATCGATGGATGCGATTAGATCGTCGTTGCTGATTTGCGTTCTTGGGTAGCGGGGGGAGCAGGCGGCAAATTATCGACGAAGGCGACCTCAGAGGCGGTTTCGAGATCGGATCTGTAGTCGCAGGTGTTGGGGTGATCGGCGCAGTATTGATCTGAACCGGCTCGATGAGCTCTCCGACTCTGTCAGCGTTGATGATCCAGGAGATCGATCCAACCATAAAGATCTGGCTGGGCTATGGGAGGGACGAAGAGCCTGCAAAACATACCATCTTGTTAGACATGGAAACAGCACACACACCCCTACCTGACGCGCCATCATATGGCACGATCACAATTCAAGACGACGAAGGTAATATTTTTAAGGTAAACGGTCAACGATTAAAAGTTTTATTGGAGCCTTCATATAATCCAAAAGAAAAATAGATGTAATAAAATTAATTGCTTTTAACAAATTCCCTAACTTAAAATAAGTACATCACAAATTCAATAAAGATTTTTAGAATTGTTGTCTACACGTGTCTTTGTGTTTTCTTTTATTTACAAATAAGACAGGTGCAAAAAACAAGTGTGAGGGAGAAGACACGCTCAAATACTCCTCCCCAAAAGATGCACAAATGGTCAACATGATCAAATTTTGGTTTGTGCATCCTCACTCCTTATATTTAAATAAAGGTTAGAGCTGAGTAATTTAAAAATACAACTCTAAAAAGGAGTGACGCTACATCTCCATGTCTTCCTATGATTCAAAAAAGTTTGCATACTCTTTATTCCTTGCTAATATTCTTATAACTTGTGAGCACTTATCATAGGGACCCCATTTTATCTAAGTGATTGACCAATGAGATATGGTAGGATGACATGACACTTGCTCTTTCTTGCAAAGTACTTGGGATTTATCTTTACAAAACAAAATTCAAAATAGCATGTTCCTTGAATGATATACAAATACCAACCAAGGCCTTATATGATCATACATGACAAAACCTTCCACATATGCCTCTTGCTTTGTATTGAGTTTGGTCAAGTACTGTGATCCCTATTGAGAGATGCTTCATGCTCCCAAGATCAAAACTCACGTATACGCCACAAATAACCAGCTATTCCTACACTGGGAATACACGAAAACATGCTTACATCACATACATACTCCATACTCTAAAATATGATCTCCCTAGCATATTTCTAGTAAAGGAGACAGAAAGGCAATGCAAAAGTATGAAAAAAAGAATGGGGCGCATGAAGGTCCCAAAGTATTGAAAAAAAAGTTCGTGTTTTACTTTGAAATTGATATCTTTAGAAAAGTTATCTTTGTTCATTATAAGCTTGCGGGTTCGTCGTCCATCGCTGCGACGGATGCTCTAGTAGAGGACTCCTGATAAAGACGAATGTTTCTGGCCACACTAGAGTAGTAACCAATAGCGTAGACGTGGTGTCTAAGCTAAAAGTTACCTTTCATTTGCCTCGTACTCCACGGTTGAGGGGTAGGCGGTAGGTGGTGACAGCCATGTCCACCCCTTGTAATCCCCCACGTCCGGGTACGGCGTAGAGCTGTAGGCCGGCAACGCTTAGCAGACCAAGTGTTATCCGGTGCCTGAAGTAAGTCTATAATGACAAAGTTATCTTAACTTAGGATCTCTATCCTTAGAAAAACCTACCCGAGCTATCCTTCTTCTTGTTATCTTGGGCGAACTAGCAAAGAGTCTTTACACATCCATTCCTTTGGAAAAAAAATACGATACCATGAATACTTCCGGGTGAAGTGCTACAACGTTATATCCGTGCGCTTGCGGATTCTTTCGCTTTCGCTAAGAAATACCAACAGGAGGTGGATTCACTGAGCAACAGGTCGAGAGGATGGCTAAGGTGGATCCAGCGAGGGCACCAGGGCAGCAGATTGAGTGGACATTTGGGGAGGTAGATTTGCCGGGGTAGGAGGCTAGGCGAGGAGTCGAGGAAAGAGGGCGGTGGAGAGGTGGATTCGTCGAAGCAGTAGAGCCTCGATGAGCGAGGTTGACCTGCTAGGGGTAGAAGGCTTGGTGGATGCTGGGGAAGGAGATGGGGAGGTGGATCTGTCGAGATGGGTGTCGCACATGGCGTCAGACGAGAATGGTATTATACGTGTGCAAGGAGATAATGCCTATAATACTAAACAGTAGGGTCCTCCACTACGATTGAGTGCCTGAGGGAAGAATTTGAGCGTCTCCTGCTTTTGGGGGTCTGAGTAGAAGCTTGCTCGACTTGTATTTTTTATCTGAATTCTTAAATTTTGGTTTAGTGGCCTATTTGAGAGCCCTGCCAAAGTTTCTTGTACACTCGTTTTTTTCCTTTCACGTGCGCATTCGCCTCATCTCGGACATTCGCGAAGACTTTGGGTCAGAAGGGTTGTTTTTCTTTGCTCTGATCCAAACAGTACATGCCGTCATCAAAGTCAAAATATAGGAAATTTGTTTCTTTGAAATTTCTACAGTCCAGACAACGGGTAAGAGTAACAGCTACAGAGGATCACATACATATATAGTTAGCTAGGTAATGATCACAGGCACGGCTTTAAGTGGGAAGGCCAAAACATTGGCGGTGGTGAACTTCTCGCTCACGTCCACCTGCTCTGCCGACATGCCGTCCGGCAGCTGCCACTCAAACGCGTGCACCAGCGACGCCAGGATCAGCGGCACGACCTGCTCCGCCACGGGTATGCCGGGGCACAACCGGTGGCCGGACCCGAACGGGATGAACTCGAACTGTTTCCCAAGGAAGTCAAACTCCCTGTCCAGGAACCGCTCCGGCACGAAGGCCCTGTTCACTTCTCTTATAATCCATTTTTTCAGCTTGAAAAGTGTTTTTCTCTCACAACAAATCAGCCGGAACAGTGTTTTGGCTTGTTTTTTCAGCGAAGCGAATGGGGCCGAACTCGTCGGGCCGCTCCCACACCGTCGGGTCACGCATGATCGCCCGCGTGTTGAAGATCACTACGTAAAAAATGATTTTTAGCAACGGTTCGAAATTTTTGTAGGGGCGGCTGGTGATGGAGCCGCCCCTACAGTGGTGTGCTCAGGTGCCCAGACACCAGCCGCCCCTACAAATGGAACAGCAGGGGCGGCTGGTGATATGAGCCGCCCCTACAAATGGGATCTGATTTGTAGGGACGGCTCAATCAACAGCCGCTCCTGGAGTTGCTATTTGTAGGGGTGGCTGGTGATTGAGCCGCCCCTACAAATGCCCCTGTATATATAGCTCCGATTCGTAGGGGCAGCTCAATCACCAGCCGCCTCTACAAATGACCCACATATAAAATAGCTGCAACACATTCTTCCTCCTCGGGTCACTCACTCCAACCCGTGAAAGAAAGGTGGGGAGGCCTTGGGCACCTCCCAAAAATTGCTCTACTAAGGGGGAAAGGTTTTGGTCTCAAATCCTTTGGTGGAGAGGTTGTAGAAGGTAAGAAAATCCTATTCCACACTTTTTTTTGAAGTTTTAATGGTTGATTAGTGAGTAATTAGAGTTTTGTTTTTCTCTCTCTTTTATGGTGCTTGTGCTACTTATGAAGCAAATTAGACCCAAGTTTTAAACGTACTAGGGTCAATTAGGGAGGGGAACAAGATCATACCCTTATTTGATCCGCGTTGTTTGCTTTGTCTGGACAGATCAAAGGAAAGACGGGATGCTTGGTTTGCTTGGATGGTACTACATGGGTGTACCTGGATGCATCCAAGAAGATAGTTTACCTAAAGAACCGACGCTTCTTAAAGACAAGTCACAAGTACCACAGCAAATTGTTCTTTAGATTTTATGACAACGCCCCGGAGATTGAACCCCCTCTAGAGAGATGTCATAATGGAGAATACGTGTACAGAATGGTGAAAAACATACGCGTCGTCTATGGAAAGAAGAATCCGGATAGGATGAACAGAGATAGAAGCACACCTCCTATCGAAGGCATACCTTTCAAGAAACAATCGATCTTCTTTCAATATCTGCCTTATTGGCCAGACTTGGAAGTCCCCCATGCCATTGATGCTATGCACGTGCAGAAGAATGTCTTTGAGAGTCTCATTGCTACCTTAATGGACACAGGTAAGTCAAAGGAGGGTCTGAAAGCACGAAAAGACATGGTGCAGCTAAACGTGATGCCACAGCTTCACCCGGTACCTGAGGCTAATGGAAAATACACTCTGCCCGCAGCGTGCTTCAACCTAACACCAGACAAGAAGAGAGCTATATGCACTTTCCTGAGGGGGATCAAAGTCCCAACTAGGTTTTCAGCAAATGTTAAGAAGCTAGTGTCGATGAAGGACTTGTCAATAACACACTGCAAGGCTCACGATTGCCATGTGATGCTGATAGTGTTTCTACCTATTGCAATCAGGGCTATAAAGCCAGAGTTCTTGAAAATGGCCATCACCCGCATGTGCTACTTCTTTTCGAAGATCTCACAGAAGACGATTGGTAAGCAAGAGCTGAGTGACCTACATGAATTTGTGGTGGAGACACAAAACCAACTGGAGATGTGTTTACCTCCTGCTTTTTTTTATATAATATCACATCTCATGATTCACATGGTTCATCAAATACAGGCGTTGGGCCCTTGCTACTTGCATGAAATGTGGTCCTACGAGCGGTTCATGTCGGTTCTATGTCGATATGTGCATAATCGAGCATACCCAGAGGGCTCCATGATAGAGGGTTATAGTACTGAAGAAGTCATCGAGTGCTGTCAAGAGTACCTAAAAGTACAGAAAGGGATTGGTAAACCCGATTCTCATCACAAGGGTAAATTTGTTTGGGAAGGGCACCGATGGTAGAAAAGTGTTCATCGACCATGATTACAAAGAGGTGTGAGTGAGTAGCATTCTGATTGTCTTGCAGAGTACACAACCGATGCAACCGTACATTGATGAACACTTGGCTATCATTATGGCGGAGAGAAATGGCCGTTCGGATGATTGGGTCATGAAACAACACAAGCAACGACTAACTACATGGTTGAAGGACCAAACCATACCGCCTGGAGAAACCACAAACTCTATTACCATCAATAGGTTGGCAGGGGGGCCATCGAGATAGGTGACATCTTGGAATGCTTATGACATCAATGGGTATACATACTATACCCACGCAAAGGATAGTAAATATGTGAACCAAAACAGCGGCGTTCGAATAGAGGCTCTCGATGGATTAGGGCGAAAGATCCAATACTTTGGCATCATTGAAGAGATATGGGAACTTGACTATGGAAGGGATATAACGGTAGCCCTGTTTCGATGCCGCTGGATCAAACAACACCAACTGAACGAGATCGGATTGAGAGTCCTGGACCTCAAGAATCTAGGCTACCAAGATGATCCTTGGGTGCTCGCTTCACGTGTCGCACAAGTTTTCTATATGTCTGACCCACAAAGTAACCTCCCCCGAAGAAGAAGACAAAGCACGTGGTTGCCTCTGGGAAACAGCACATTATTGGAGTTGATGGCGTGGACGATGTTGAAGCTTACAATAACTATGATGAGATGCCGCTATTCACAGACTTTCCTAAGAAGATCAGTGTTGTGAAAAAAAACCTCCCCAAAGACATTGCCATGGGAACGAAAAGGTGTCAAGGGGAAAGTCGTTACAGCGGGGTAGCTAGTTGGTGAATGTGGAGTGTTTGTATAAATGTGTGTTTGTAAGACTTCATTTATACATGCGTGTGAGACTATATATTTATGTACGTGTGTAAGACTACATATTTTTGTATGTGTGTGAGACTACATTTATGCATGTGTGTGAAACTACCCTTTGCAACATCCAGATGACTCTATTTGAACATCCACTCTATTACTACTAAAACTTTATGAAATCACTTAACACTTTATGAAATGAAGAAATTTTCAAATTTAAAAAAATGACAAGTTCGAATGAGATTTTCAACCATTAACTGATTTCAGCTGAAAAAGTGATGAATACCAAAGTTGTATAACTCATCAAGATCTACAACTTTTATTTTGATCATTTCTTCATCTGACAAAGTGATATTAAATATTGTTCACAAATCAACATGTTTCTCGTATAGTTCAAGAAACTATGAGTCATATGTGAATTTATGAACAATGTTTACTAATACTTTGTCACATAAAGAAGTGACCAAAATAAAAGTTATAGATAGTGATGAGTTCAACAACTTTTATGTTCACGACTTTTATTGTTGAAATCATTTAAGGTTTCAAAATCTTGTTTGAAGTTGACATTTATTGAAATTCAAAATTTCAACTGTTCAAATTTGGTCAAATGAAAATATGATCAAAATAAAAGTTGTACATATTGATGAGTTCTACAACTTTGGCATTCATGAGTTTTTCATCTGAAATCATTTACTCTTTCAAAATATTGTTTCAAGTTGAAATTGTTTGAATTTCAAAATTTAAATCGGTTCAAACAAAGTCACATGATAAGATAACCAAAATAAAAGTTGTACATGTTGATGAGTTATACAACTTTTATGTTTACAACATTTTCATTTTAAACAAAGTCACATGATAAGATAACCAAAATAAAAGTTGTACATGTTGATGAGTTATACAACTTTTATGTTTACAACATTTTCATTTTATTTCATTTAATGTCATAAAATTGTAGTCGAAGTTTTAAAATTCAAATTTTTAATTTTTGTTTTTTTTTTGTTTTCTATATTATTTTGACTACAATTGTTTATATATATATTTCTTCATATATAGAATAATACAAAATATTATATTTGTGCATATACACAATTGTTTTTATATTACTTTGTGTTTTTATGATATAAAAAATACAGAATTAATTATTTAAAAAAATAAAAAATATTTGTAGGGGCGGTTGGATCAGGAACCGTCCCTACAAATCGTCCCGACTGTATATTCAAGGCCGCACACGGGAGTTGCCTGTTGGGCGCTCTCTTCTTCTCCAACGCTGTCAGGCTGCCCCGCCGACGCCGCCTCCCGGACCTGTCCCGACGTCGGCCCGCGCCCCCTCCCCGCACCCGCGCGCCTGCTCCTCCCCGACCTAGGGTTTCCGACCGGCCGGTGGCCCCATCTCCACACCCGCGCGCCCCCTCCCCGCACTAGGGTTTCCAACGGCGGGCAGCCTCCACGCACCTCCACTGGCGGGCGGCCTCCGCGCACCTCCACCGGCGTCCGCGCACCTCCACCGGCGGCCGGCGGCGCACCCGCGCGCGCCATCTCCGCACCCGTGCGCCCCCTCCAACGGCTGGGCGAAACCCGCCCCACTTCGCCACCTCTTTACCTGCGACGATCACCCACCAGGTATGCCCACTACCTTCTCTCGCCTTCCTTCCTTTGCGGAGCCGAGCACCCCAAACCCTAAGCAATTTGAACTTGGATTTGGTTATAAGCTTCTTATATGTGTTGCCTGGTTGATTTGCTTATGTTCAGTTTAATCCTCTGCTAAGAAGAAGAAGGTAATATAAACTACTGCTACATTATATATACTACTACTGCAAACTGCATGCCTGTGACTGTGTGGCTGTGCCAAATGTCAGCGCAAGATACGATCGAGCTTGCTGCTTGCATTGTTTCCTCATTGTGATGTTTGATTTAATTAGATGCAGCATGATAAATAGATGATGGATGTTTATTATATACTGTATGTCTCTTTGGTCTCTCTAGTGCAAAACTAGCTCTGCCGCTAAGATGATCAGCTCCACTATGCACTCCTGTGAGATTTTGTGTCGATTTTTATCACTTCAAATAGTTGTAGTCTGATATGA